AGTCATGCATACCATGTTTGGCTCATGTCAGAAGCATGCTGAGCAATAGATCAGTCAGTGATACTGCTCATTTCCAGTCATGACAGTTAAAACACCAAATAAACAGGATTTACTGCCCCCACCAACCAGTCAAGCTGCAGTTCACATTTTCCCCTCTAGTTCCTAAACAATGCACAACGGACAGAAAATCATTTTTGCAGAATATTATAAAGTGAGGTTGACCTTTTGCATTTAAAAATTAATTACTTTATCACTTCATTCTTTCTTTTTTCACTCTTCATACATTTAGTAAGGTTAAAGCAACTTTTGAACACCAAATTTGAATAATTTCATTACTGACTTGCATTTCACTCTCAGCATCTTCAAAACTTCAATGTCAGTTTGTCTGCCACATGTTCTGACCTGCTGTGTCACTGTTGAGAAGTGAATCACAGCTGCTTCGATTTTAACAATGAAAGCTAAACAGAGCGCTTTTCAATATATAATCTCTTGGCAATTAAGCATTTACATCAGTAAGAGCATTTATGCTGTCATTAGGTTACAAAGACCTAGACAGGTCTGCGATTTCAAAAGTGCAGAAATCTGTAGTTTCATGCAATAGCGACCTGCTTATTATCCAAAATAAGCAATTTAACTTCCCAAAAGATTACCTCAGTCTGTCTACATGACCTACATGATATGACAGTCAAACCCGGTCCAGTGCAGAGAGTTCAGATGGTGGCTGAGCCTTTTTCAGTCATGCATTTTGGAGTATTATAATGCTGCATTCATTCAAAGCACCGACCAGGATCTCACAGGGAAAGTATGTGCGCACCAGTTGGAGCGGTTTGTTTTGAGAACAGTGCAACTGCATTGGAACGTGGCTGCAGTGCTGAGCTGCATACCACCCTGTTTCATCTCTAATGAATGTCAATCAAAGGCACATTTTTACAGCAGCGCAGACCACCAAGTGTATACTTGTAAGGCAATGCAATTAAAAGCAACTTATTTCTGGACTGGAAAATATTTCGCTGTGCCACTGTCTGGTAGAGGAAAATGTTTTAGGAAAAAAAAAAAAAAATCAAAGCAGGAAAGAGCAGCTTGTACAAAAGAATCCCAGGCATGCAACCAGTGGCTAGGCAGAGTTTCTGGGCAGGATGACATCCCGACGGCTGCTTGGCCTCCCTCTCTTAACTGCCAAACCCTTATGTTTGTTAACTGGACGCCAACACTCCCTGAATGGCTTCCGCAGCAAAGATCAGGGTGGCTGGAATTCTCGTCTGGCAGACATGTGGCACAGGAGCGTCTCAAAGTGGACACCACAGCACACGAACAGATAAAGCAGCCTGTGTGCACTGTTTATTGTCAGGGCCCTGAAACCATGATTAGAGGGTTGGGGGTTTTTTTTGTTTTGTTTTTTTAAACGGGGCACATTTGTTGCTATGCAGAAGCACTTTCTAATACCTTCTATACAATAGCATGTACAATGACAGATACATATGAAAACAAGCAGCTGCTGCTTTGTCTCTACAAGGGAAAGTCACCCATGCTTTGTGTGAACTATAGCTGGAGTGGACAGGTACTATAGTTGCATGCTCAAAAACAAAACAAAACAAAACAGGAATGCAGGTTTGCAGGATAAAAATATGCCTTTAGTTGCACCGAGGATAGAAATGGAGCTAAACAATGCATGGAGCCTGTGCAGACAGCTGCATGCATTGATTAATGAAGATCATTACTACATCATCAGATATGCAGTACAGGGACAACTGAACGCTTCCTGTGTGGACACAGCTTAACTGCCTATTGCCGTGTTATTACCTCCATGAGGATGTACACAGTCCACAACTGGGGTAATTACAAAAATCTTGCTAACCTACCCACATAATGCTAATGTTGAAACGGATCATGTTTACCATGTTAACCATTATTTACAATTATTTTTTCTATAAGGAAATGGCAGTGGATCATCTTTCAGTTCATCTTTAGAAAACAACTCTCTGTTGTTGCAGACTGGAGAATGTATTCAGTTCTTGAACCATGCATGCGTGCGCAAAACTTCATGGCAGTTGCATGAAAATTCTATTGATGGAAACTGGATATGCAGTGACCTAGTTGTTGACTGAGCTGATATTTCATCGGGAGCAACAAGAGGGCGGCATTGTAATTACACATCTGAAACTGTAGCAATAATTCATTTGTGGCTTTATGTCTACATAATGATGGGTAGACTGGACGTTCTGTTTTATTCTCACAAAGCATGCCATGGAGAAGGTTCCTGTGCTAACAATAAACTACATAGTAGATTTATAGTATTAGTCTAATGCATATGGTTCCCACTGAAAAGGGTTTTACAGGTAAACAAGGAGCAAGTAGAATCAGTGGCTGAAGTAGCCCCAGCTGCACACTTCTGAGACTTTATGTTCTTTGACTTGCAAACTTGATGAATCTGTTTGTCCTACCTCAAAGCCAACATGTGTCTACATTATAGTTCTGCAGATAGAAGAGCTAATCTCAAGTGGCATCTGCAAGCCTTCGGGGCAATCAAAGGCCACCCAGTGAACGCCAGTCCATGTTAGAGGTCCATAAATAATACTAGAACTTAAATCTCTGTTTCACTGCAGTTTCTGGGAACACGGGACCAGTGCAAAAGAAAGTCCAGATGAAAAAGAAATGCTATCGAACGCATTCACTTCCCAGACACTTCAAATACGTTTTCCAAGAAACAACTTGAAGCATGGAATGTGCGACATGAGAGGAAAAAAACTTAATAAGTGCTACCCGGCATGAGAACTGGTGAGCAAACTACTTCCTGCAGAGGGGCCGGCCACTCCTGCCTCAGCCCATTGCTAACCGGCATGAGTAGGAGTGTGCGTGCATGTTTGCGTGTACAGTAAGTGATTGTGGGGTGAGAGGGAAATTCGAAGGGAGGGGTGGGGTTGTTGTTCAGGAAGTAGATACAGTGCAACAGAGGAGAAGGAAGAAAGGAAGATGCCCATATATGAGCAGGCGCTTACGAAACAGGATGGAGGACATGACTGAAGAGGCCTGGGATCTCCCGTGGGTGCAGAAATAATTAAGTTAATGTGAAAAAACCTCCTACACATATAAAAACACACACACTGTCAATCAAAAAACGCCAAGCCCCAATTTTCATGCATCCTGACGCTTGCACAGTAAACTGCTGTGTTCAGTTAAGATCTCACATTAAACCTGCTCAGTAAAAAAAAAAAAGGTGTTAGAAATTGAAGCAGTTATTGAGGAACCAAGATAGTCCCACCAAATGCAAGACATTGCCCCACAAGGTTTCTGTTAGCACAGTGGAAAGACTATAGACAGAGGCCCTGCAGCCAATTAATAACACACCTGCACACAGGCAAAAAGAGCCTTTGTTTAACACCTGCATGTAGACTGGGTCACCTTTTTTCACTTGCTGTTTGATTTAAATTCAGGTGAATGCATATTTTTCAAAGTACTTACTTTGGACCTACAACTGATTTAAAGCTTTTATTTCCTGAGGGGCTGCCCCCACAAATTGCACGGTAGTTTACATTACACACACCATAAATTTCACTATACACCCACAGGTTCCTATAAAGACAAAAGGTTTGTGTTGTACCCCTACACAAACATGTAAAAAAAAACAAAAAAAAAAAAAAAAACGCACACATTATTAACAAATGCAAAGTTCTTAACAGGGTCACTCTGCACAACACATGAGTATTCACACACAAGAGTCCCAACACAGCTGCAACAAATGAGCAGATGTGCATGCTTATGGAGTTCCCAGTGTGGGACATTTCAGATTCTCAGTGTTTCAATGGCATAAGCGAAAAAGGAAAAACAAAGCGGTTTCTACATCAGTTATTAATTTAACAGACCTTCAATATGCTGCAGCAATGAAAGGGTTATCTCACGCCTAACATAAGGACAAACCTATAGACTGTATAATACTGCCACCATGTGGGGGAAATTTGTAGAATTGAGTCATACAACTATCTGTAAGAAGGTATCCACAGAGAAACTAATCTGAAACTAGCTTTTTCTTTCATTTCCTAGATTGATATCGTGTTAGCAGCAGATCTCTTAATTAAAACAGATACAAGTAACAAAGAACAGATTGTTTCCTTGCGTATTGATTGGCAAACCTGAGACTTTTATTACGTGTAATATACTTTTAACTGAATTATTAGCCAAGACATTTTTATTATATTTAGGTGCATATTTTCCTGACCAAGAAAATAACAAACATTAGTTCAAGTAAGTATCCAATGCACCTAATCATAGGTAATTATTTAGAGAAATTAATTCATTAATGCTATCAAAACAGCTTCTATTTCTAGTTAGAGAAGATTCTTTGGATCTAAATCGTGATTTTGTAGAAATGTTTTAAGTACTGATATCATTTGGAGCCAAAACGTGTACAGGCTTTTCTTCCTTTCTTCTTTCTGGCCTGAATCTAGTAATGTTTCACATTTTTCCCCCTCTAATATTAAATGAAGAACCACTCAGAAAATAGGCCATTTAAGGCCCTCACAGTAAATTCATATTAAAGGGGTTATCAAGTATAAAGTTGGATGCTTGAAAACAGGGGCAGGGGTGAGTAAGATCCAATTTCATACAGTTAAGTGAAACAAATTATAAATGTTATGTTTCACTGTGTTTGAAGCATACATTACCAGTAATGTAATCAGTAGCATGTATTTGTATCTTACAAATTCCACACCTGTGATGCCTTTTTGTAAATGTAGGACCCAAGTCATAATCCTAAAGAGCAATCCCCTATGATTTAAGAATATAAGAAGATACAGTGTAGACTCTTTCTAAACACAAGAGGGCAGCACCTCACAGATGGTCCTTAAGTCTGAAGATATGAAATACTCAAACAGGCTGTGCCTAATTAATAATGAATAGGCTGGTGAAACAATGTTTGCAACCTGAGCCACCTTGCAATTACAGAAATGGCTGGTGGCGATAGTTGTTTTAAAGATGGGAGGCAGCCTATAAACAAGGACACAGACCTGTGTGCGAAATGTTCTCAGGGAGCATGTACTTGGTGTTTCTGTCTGAGTGGGCAGCATAAATCTGGAAAGAAAAAGCAAAGAAAATATTATTTTTTTAAAAATTAGCCAATCGTGGATTCATGTTTACCATTTCTTCCAGATGAGGCCAAACAAAGAGCTGTGAGCTCCCACGGTGTAATTAATGAATGCTAGCCCTCTGACACTAGTTTCCACATCATTTAGGACAAAATGTGAAGCAGTGGTGGGTGGGGTATACCCAACCCACTGCTCTACTTGCATTCATTACCACATTCCAGTGAGACCAGTTAGATGGCCAGTCCTTTAGTCAGAGAACTTTGTGTCTGGGCAGTTTGTCCCAACAACAGAGAGGAGGCAGGACTTGGTGGTTTAAAGTAAGGAACAGATATCCTCAAATATTTTTAGTACTTTCCACTGTTTATTATTTTCTTTCCACAGTAGTAATTCATCTTACACGTTCTTCAAGCCTGAGCAATACTTGGAAGAGTTGGTATATAAGCATTAACATCTAAATAATATTCTTAACTGAAACAAATGCAACAATTAAATACAACATAAAAGGTTTTTGCACAGAGTAGCAGAGTTTTTGGGGACAAACATTCATACTGAAGGTACCATTTATTCAAACGCACAAATTAACTTGGATTCACTTTAAATGTGTAACTGTTATTTAGTCATCATTTACAGTAGTTATACATGTTCAATATCAAATCAAAGCACACACACACAGTCCTGGAGTTGGTTTATGCAATTGTCAGTTGAGCTGTACATCATGTAGAACTGCACAACGAAGCACGTGTCTATAAATAACCCACTGCAGCAATATGACAAGTCCCAAAATGTCACTGAGATCAGACACAGGGTGACACGAACAAGTAACCTGGCTACTGTCACACAGGGTCTGTGTGTTGCTCTGCGGGTCAGGGGGAGACGCGGCAGATGAGATGTTAATCCTGCCACAAGGATGGGAAAAACAACAATGAGGCTGCAATTTCTGCTCCCGCTAAAGGAGTTTACAGCAGATGTTCGGTGGAAATAATTTGGAAAATTAAAGGAATCTTTGATGAGAACGCAGAAGTAATAAAATTTCAACACGCAATGTTCTAAGATGCTAATATTGGGAGCAACGAGAAAGCCAACAAGTAAGGCGAAGTAAGAGACGAGAGTGTGAGTTGGTTTGGATAAAACAACAACCTCCAGGGCCAATCCAACAAAGAAAAAAGCCAAGACTGAGGTTTCAACATGTGGAATCCCAAAAACAGATGACGTCATGGTGGCTACATCCATCTTCTACATACCATCTATGGTTTATAGACAGATAAATGAACTGAAGTGGCACAGCAGTTATAGTCAAATATACAGAGAGTTTATTTGACTACACAATCATCTTGTTCAATCAAACCACCTAAATGTTGTGCATGCGTTTCAGTCTGAAATGTTACATTATAGGGCGCTCGTTTCAAAATTGCTTTCCAAGTAGACAAATAGTAAAAGAATACACAACGCCAAGTGACATCTTTGTTCATTCATTTATCCAAATATTGACATAAATCCTAAGTATTTTTATAAAGGTTTAAACTGGAAAAAAAGGGAATCCTTACACTTACAGAACCTTTATGAATTGCTGCTTGATGAATACCTGCATCAATTAACTTGTAGCTGACTAGTTCCCTGCATTAAAATATCTGTTAAATGTCCATGCTTTTAACTGTCTCCATGACATCTGGAGGAAACAGCTGCTGTGTGAACAACGGTCTGATTTTGATTAACTGATTAAGAGCTACACTGGTTTTATTGTAGAAGGTCTGAATATTACAATATTAATAACAAAAGCCCTTCTCCAATCTAATAACTTTAAACAGAACAGTACACTGCCTGGTGGCCATCACACAGTTTTCAGAAATGCCGCATCTTGTTTGAAGACAGAGAGAGTCAACACTGTAATTACAGGGTGCATGTAACTAACTATTGGTTTAAAAATGGAAAGTATTTGAGAGGTAAAGTCATTGAAAGCTAATTGTGAAAGCCTTTCATCACTTGCTGATAAGCAGTTAATGCCTTGTGCACTAAGCAGCCCTCTTACGTGCGACATATTCTCCTCGTTGAGGGTATAATACCTTCATCACTGCGACACGCTCCAGTGAGGAGGCTAAGAGAGCTCTGACATACGTCAAAGCAAGAGGACATTTTTCACATATTGCTGTGGACTAACAGCTCGAGGGTGCTGGCGGCGACTGTGCTGTGTTGACTGGAACTTCTCTCTAAAGGTCTTTGTGACCAGAGCTGTGACGCACAGACGAGTTCCCCAGAGGCTGAGCGTGGAATTTGAGTCAAGGGATAGAAGGGGGGTAGGGGGGACCTTCTCACGAGATTAAACCACGCTAAGGTCTGCACCAGTAAGTGTGGGGTAACCAGGCAACATGACCATACCCACGTCAGCACCACAAATGCACTCAGGTGGAGTCACGCTGGACTGCCAGAAGCCATGACAAGATAATTCTCCTGAAAGATGAAAATCATTTGTCATGGACACACAGAGTTACGTTGCATGCTCTCCCCAAACATGCTCACAGGTTCAATAATAATAACAGCCATACCAAAATTATCTCACAGAAACGTCATCATACTACTGAAAGAAAGTAAACACGTGTAGCGCTTAGAAAAATATGTAGCATCTGTTTATGCAGTGTAAAAGACAGCTGTTTTGATCAAAACTTTGCCAGTTTTACACTCAATTTTTATATTAGATTTTGGCATGCTGCACTTTCCTTTGGGGTGGACCGAACATTTGCTCAACAAAAAAGCTTCAACTGAATGCCCCCTAAATGCAAAATTTTCAAATGCATCCCTTTATTCGTTTAAAAAGTCTGACAGACTAACACTAAAACACTGCTGAATACTGCAGATGGATTTCCTGGTACTAAAAATCTTGATCAATACGTATTTAAAATGATCATCATTACCTGTCTCATAGCTACAAAAACAAACCAAAAAAGCTATTAACTGAGAGTTAATAGATTACTAGCTCGGTTAGTAAACTGAGACTAGTTTTGCCAATTTTCTGTAGTAATTGGAGATGGGAATCCAGAAGTGGTTCCAACTGATTCAATACATGGGAATTATGTGCCTCAAACTTCCTTTTATCATTGCTGGCATGTTTGTTTTCCTGACAGTTGGATGTTGCAAAATGTCAGAAGCTTTTGCACAACTCAGTCATATGCAATTCTTTGTCTTCTACTCTGTTTCTGCAGTCTTCAAAGTCAGAAAAAAAGACTAAAGACTAGTGCAGGTCTTCATATTATCCACAAAACAGATACTGTGTGGAGTAAACGGATCAGAAATCAGAAAGGGATTAATACCAAATAAATGTAAGTACTAAAAATACTGTTAAACACTTATTAACATTTAAATAAAAGCTAAACTCTACAGTTATTTTTAATGTATCTCCTACCTCATTGGAAAATCATAAATCAGTCTATCATCTACATTACTAAAAGTCCAGTCCAAGAGTTTGTGCAATGCATAGGCTTTAAGAATGCGACTTCACATCTTAAATTCAGATTTTAGCTGAGCACATTCACCTGAGAAATACACCGCTTGGAACGTCAGATATTATAATGAAGTGTTGCTACTCCTATAAGACCAGCAACTCCTCCCGAAACACGTCTGAGTTAAAGAGAAGTTTAAACATTTAAGGCAGACTATGTTAATCTACTGTTTACTGCAGCTCTAATAAAGCACTTCACTCACATTTACTGAACTACGTTTAAAAAGAAGAGCATCAGTTTCCCCGCTCTGACCCTGATAACCTACAGTATGATAACTTCCCACAACACGCTGTAGTGTTTTCACACTGTTGTAATACTGGCGCTGTTAAATTCAAAGAAAGCCCTGCTGCAGGTAGGCTTTCCAAGAAGTGTAATATTCCATCATACTTGTAAATCTCTCAAATATTCGCTGACCTTCACAGAGATTTATCCAGCATGTTTTCTCAGAAATATCGCCATGACATCACTCATGTCTCCTCTTGGAAAAAAAAGAATCCTAACCGCTGATTGAAACACCTGTTTACCAACCATGTATTTGCACAATAAATTTTGCCAACCATTTAAAGCTGCAAAGTGTTCTTTCCCATACTCTTACCTCGTGTTTACACTGGTTGTTGCCTCAGGTTAATGGACTGGAAGTCACAGTCTACCATCTGGCGTTTATTAAAAGCAGCAGCAGTGTGGACACAGCAGAATGAAGAAAGATTATTTATGTAATCTCTGTACTGATACTCACCTGGCCTCTCGGATCCAAAACCGGGTTTGTTCCTTTGTTTTGTTTTTGTTTTTTTATGTGGTTGTTTTGTTTGTTTGGGGGTGGTGGTTTCAAAGTCGAGCCATGAAATAATCCCACACGAAGCTCTCGCAACTCGACAAAAATGTCGACTGAAAAGTTTCAGCTCGGATTAAACAAACATTCAGCCGTGTGGAGGTGAAAGCGCAGTGACGGGAGACGCGCTCAGTCATCTGATGTTGGCTGCTGCTGGGCAGGACTACACGCCGCTTCCTAATCTTTGGACAAGGCAACAGCGCCCCCTGTCGGTGGCTTATACAGATGGTAATTCATAGGATCCTGATTGTGCTACATCTGCACCTGAGATATTCAAAATGTAGAAATGCAGGTGTCCACGTCCACGTTTCAAAATGATCCTGCACTTGCCATAAATATATTTTCAGTATGAAGTGCGGTTTTGTTTTG